GCCTGGGCTCTGTGTAGAGTCCAACTGCTAACTCCACCTGCCTGGCTTGCCTAACAGTGGCCATGCTTGGCAGGTGCTTGAAGCCCCTGTGCCCCTCATAGCAGCTGGCAGCTCCAAGCATGGAGTGTGGGGCTCAGCACTGTCATAGATTTCATAGGTTTTTAGGGTTGGAAGGGACCTCAGTAGATCTTTGAGTCCAAACCTCTGCCCTGGGCAGGAAAGAGCAAAGAAGTTCTTCTGAAGCCCAGTCTAAATCTGCTCTCTGTCAGTTTGTGGCCATTGTTTCTAGTTACCCCAAGGGGTGCCCTGGTAAACAAAGTATGTCCTATTCTTTGCTGCTCATCACCCCCTCCCCTCCCTGCTGCCTCTGATGAATTTGTAGACAGCCACAAGATCACCTCTCAGCCTGTCTATCTGGGCTGGGGATGCATAGAGTGAGTGGGGAGGCTGCACTGTTTATAGCCACCTCCCAAGCCCAGCAGATGTGGGAAGTCCCACCCTGTACCCAGCCCTCCAGGCCCACTGCTCTTGCCAGGCAGAATCAGTGGTATAGCCCTGGAGCCCATTTGCGCTCCTTGGCCCAGTGGTCCAGAAACATGCTTGGGTCTGGCACATCCTGAGTGAGTGCTCTTAGCCACTAAACTTTAATGTATTGAGCCCCTCAGTCACATAGGGAGGGAGATGTCTACTTTGTGCATCTCACAAGGGAGTACATGAGCTTCAAGATTTTCCAAGAGGCAGACTTTCAGGCAGCTGGTAAATTAACTGAAAACTGCGGAGCATGTGGAGTGTAAGTACCTCTAATATTAAACAGCAATAGGGGAGGGATTTTCAATATCATGATTTTGGATTTTGGCATTTACATCCCACTTAAATCTTACTGCAGGCACTAATGTCCTTTTTTGGCTCTAGTCCTTAGACCTCCAAAGTCAATTAGGTGCTTCAGAAATGTTACCTTGAGTCTTCTTATATTTCTCCTCTATTTTTCTTTGGATTCTGCATCTTGTCCTTTACCCAGACATTTTTATAGGCAAGTCAGTAGATTAAACTGAGCACTCACATACATGGATGGAAATCTGTTAATTCAGTGGAATCTTGCACATTATGCACATTTTACCCCCATGCTTCTAGACTGCTTTTGTTCATACAGTTGTTGCAAAATTCGTCTACATACTCAGGTTAACATACCTACCCCCACAGTTGTTTGATGACATTAGCAGTAGATCAGCTACTAGCATATTCACTCTATTCCTGTTTTTCTTGCACACACAAACAGGTTATATTATCCTTTCTAATAGGGTTCAAGCACTGCTATAAGCTGGCACATGATTTCTGCCTCTCTGTTCTGAGTTCCAGAGTCAACAGCCCCATTAGTTTATTTTATTACTTTATAATTGGAATGCATTGTCTCATTTGAATATAATAGAGATAAATTATTACCCAGGGCCATGAAACAGGAATCAGATTCTCAACCACTAACTATTCAGCTTTGAAGCATTTCCATACACATGCATATACAAAATCTTTTATTCTGATTCTTTATTTACCACTCTTCTCATGCTTCCCGCATGAAGCAGTTCTGCACAATCAGTATGTGAATGATACCATGAACAGGAAGTTGATGTAAGTTAAACGTCTCTGTAAACGGGCATCACATTTACCTATTTAACAGTTTTTTGGGGTTTTTTTAAACAAATATAAATATTATTGATCAGTCTTTTTCTTATAAACTGACACTCAGAAATGCTGAATAAATAGGCCTATATTACATGTTATTTATGCTTTTTTAAGTGTGGTGTCCAAAGTACATTTTTCTGTCTTGAGTTTCCCCCCTAATTTTCCACATGCTTGATGCCCATTTTTCTATAAGCTCAAAGAAAAAGTTATAAATCTGCAGACATCATGGAGTTCCCAGGTGGTCCTATAGCTGGCAAAAACCCTTTGGCACTCCCTTTTATTTCTCTGGGCCCATAAGTGTGCAAACACTTGTGTCCTCACTCTCCCACACATGTGCATGCACACACACCACTTGCATACACGCTTCTTTTTATTAGTTCAGCAAAAGAGTATTGTATTGTTGATAATTTATCTGTCTCAGGTCCACTTTCTTCAACCTAAAGCTTCTATTTCTTTTGTCTTCTCCACAGCTTTGATGTCTGCCTCAAGCTACACCACTATAAAAAATTAGGTTGACTTTGCTAAAGCCCATAACCTCTTCTCTGTCTTCAATATGTAATATCCTGCATCATGTAGTTTTGGAGTGTGATTTTTATATCTGCTCAGGTTCTTTATTACAATGAGACATCTATTTTAAGAGGCTCTTTCAGCATGCTGAAATAATAAAAGTAAATATATACTATACGTGCTTCCTTTCACACAATACAACTGAAAAATTAAAACATTTAACTTAGAATAGTTAAATGTACTTTCCTTATCATTCTTATATCACTAGAAACTCCATCTGATAAGATTGTAAGACTGTAAACATATTGCAAGCTCCCAGTTGTTATAGCTAGCTCTACTTAAGCCAAAGATTTAACTTCGGATTGGCAAACTGCTTAGAATATCAATTAGTGTAACTGAGTTTCAGCGTAGAGCTAGCAACTGGCTCAAATTTAAATAATTTTATCAAATTAAGTCTGATTTTAATTTACTAGGGTGTATTTCTTAATGCAACTTGATCAACTCCATCAAATAACATCAACTTTGACCCAATTTTTCTACAGTTCCAGATCTGACCAAGTCTGCCATTTCATTAAACGTTTACATAAATCAGGCTTTATATTTAATAACACTGTCATATAAAATACTGTGATTATAATATAAATGTCACTCTTTACAGCTCATTTTGTTGTTGGAATGAACAGCCAAGTGGTTCATGTCAAATATCATGTCTAAAAATTGTATTTTTCCAAAATGAAAATCTGCATTTCTGTTGCCATGGAAAATTATTCTTTTTAAAGAAGAAACAGTTTGTATATCCGTAGTACCCATCTCCCATTGTCTAAAGGTGCAGTTTTTAAAAACACAGATGAAAATTACACAAAGAGTATTCATGTACTGCAAAGCACAGACTGCTGAGGCAGGCAAGTAAAGGCTTTCTTTAGTTCTAGAGCCATATGAGGAGCATTGATTTGGCTCTATTTTGAGTCATATGGTAGCACAAGAGTGATGTTGTACCCATGATGGCCCAGAAATTTTGAGTCTTACACATTTAAGAGTGTCCTGCGATAGGAATTGCTATGCCAACATAAATGAGTGATTCATACTGAGCAGTATTCTGTCACAGATACTGGTGCAGGATTTCCATAATAATTGGATCGGGCAATATTGCTTTGTAAAGGAAATTTCTCTCTGACTCCAGCTATTCTCAACATTCACCAAGAAACATGCAGCTTTGTGTGGCTCCTGTAATTAGACAGTAGGTAATTGTAATTTCCCATGCCATTCACCTGGGCATCAGGTATGGGGGTTCCTCTCTGACTTCACCGTTGCTTTGGGGAAGAAACAGTTCTGTTAGAAGGGTGACTTTGGTTGGTCCCCTGGGGGTCTCGCCTTCCACATCTTTGATGGAAAAATAATTATAATTGGGAGGAAGGTGGTTGGTCCCATCCCTCCTGGTGCCTCCCTTTGGTCATCCCAGCTGTTCTTCCTGCTTGAGGCTTTGCCTCCCCTATACCCTGCCTAATGCCAACCAAAGG